GGACCATCGCCATTTTGGATAGTCGTTTTGGCTTTACGTATAAAATCTGGCAAGAGCGAGTATATAGCGGTGTAGTTGCAAACTACACCGAGGGGGGGGCAGTGAACTTTGATCACATGCTTAACGGCCATTTGTCTGGCTGTAGGCTTCACCACTTTTTTGACAGTACATCCTTTAAAGCTTCCAACTCTATGCTTCGATCGGCATACATGCGTTTGAGTTTGGCATTCTCGGCCTCCAATTCCTTGATCCGCTTAATATCGGAGGCTTCCATACCGGAGTATTTACTCTTCCACTTATAAAAGGTGGCCTGGCTGATACCGTGTTCGCGGCAAAGCTCTGATACACGCTTTCCCTGTTCCTGGGCCTTTAAAATACCCGGAATCTGGCTTTCACTGAATCTTGATTTTCGCATACCTGTTAAAGTTAATTACTCTATTTTTAACTGGTAACACTAATGGGGGAGTTTACAGATCCACTTAATTACGATCAAGTGGCTGGCCTTCAATCAAGACTGAAATGGACATTTATAAAAATTTACTTGCAGAGATTCAAAAAAACCTAGAACCTACTTCTCGTATTATTTTAAAAGAATCCAACAAAGAGCTAAGTATTTCTGATACTAAATCAAAAACTGAAGGTTTTATATATCATGATAATAGGTATATAGGCCATAAGGAAGGTAGGGAGCGAGAGTGGTATTCAAAAAAAAGTCACAAAGAAATTGCCTATTCCAAAAAATTCAATGGGAAATATCAGAAGGCCCGAAAAGTCGCTCAAAGAAAAGTTGGATGTGCCGGTGGAAGCTCAATTATTCTATTAATAGCCATAATAATAGCATTGATAGGACTAAGTATTCCAATAAGATACTCTTTAAAAATAAATTTTTGGGAAAGTATAACGTTGACTCTGGGCATCATCATCACTTTAATACTAATTAACTACATAATTATACAAGCTTCAAAATTCATTATCTCCTTTAAAACCTTAAAACCCCAAGGAAGCAAAATTGATAAACTCAATCAGCCTTCAACTAATTCTAAAGATGAGATATATCTTATTATTGAAGATGTTTATCAGACCTTAAGCTACGTACGATTAGAACGAGAACGACAAGCGAAAGGCACATACAACTTGTCCATCGCACTCATAATTTCTGGGGCTGTCATTGTATTTTCAGGCATTCTCTTATTGTTCAAAAATAAGCTCACAAGCGGATCCCTAACGTCAGGAGTTGGAGCTATGACAACCCTGATTGGTAGGAATATCCTAAAGTTCTATAAAGAAACTAATGATCGAATGGACTCTATAAACAATGACCTTTTTATGCTCAATACTATTAAAGTCCAATACGCCATAATACTAAGAATTTCAGATGAGCATCGAAAGAATCAAGCGTTAGATAATCTAATCTCATCCATATCCAACATAAAAAAACAAAATCAATGACATTTAAATTTTCCAATATTTTATATAGAACATTGAAAATATAGCTGGATTTAATGAATAATCTATTGAATCAATTTGAAAATGTTTGGAAGTTCTAACAACACAAAAGTTTGCAGTAACTGCAACGGATCTGGTAGGGTTGAGGAGGTATATTTTGAAGACATTCCATCCATACCCGGTGGTGTCGAGAAAAGAAAACGCGATGTGACATGTGGAAAATGTGGCGGAACTGGTAGTGTTCGTGCGTAAGCCCGACAAATTTTGGCACTAGCATAAATGCTCGTGCCGCACTCTGCCGCGCAGCACCCAATACCTTTTAGCCCACCCCCTCGCTGGTGCGAGCATCTATGCTCGTACCATATTCTCAATATGGATACACTACTCTATCTTCCCCAACTCCCCCTCATATGCCTTAAAAGTTTTCGTGTCCTGTAGCACAATGACATTCTCATAATTATGATCCGCAGCGGAGCGGGTCCTTTGTAGCTGCCGGTTAAAAGGTAATCATCGTCAAAGAGAGCAAACTTGTGGTGCATGTATACGCTGGTGTGATCTTCTATTACCTAACAAAATATCCTCCATATTACGACCAGGAATGGAAACTCTTGATCCATTCGTACAGCACGTAATTGTAAAAGATAAAACAGAGGAATAGTGTGAATGAGTAAAAGTATCCAATAATTTAATTAAATTGCTCTATTCTATTAAGTTGCCCAGATAACGAATAGTGCGATTCCAAAACTTCGTTAGTTAGCCAGTAATGACCGATCTCATATTCTCTATTTCTCTCACTTTGTCAATTACGTTTATCACAATTCTAGCAGATTGGCTCACTAGCCATGTAATAATACTTTCCAGGTTCGCTGCTAATGCTATAAAGACCTTTAAATCTGGACATTCAAACGAAGTCGCTACCAAGCAAATGATGAACACAATTAGAGATTACGAAATATCTAAGGCTAACCTGAATATTTGGGGAAGTGAACTATCCACCGTAACTATCTCGCTAGATTTTGTAGCTCTAGGTTTATGGATATATAATAAGGGCATATTTCCATTCATTTCTAGATTCAACGTAGGTGATGTTAATAGAGAGATTTATGTTTGGTCCGTGATACTAGCTGTTCATTTTATTCTATTTCTACTATCAGTTGTTTTTAAACACCTACACTTCAACAACGTTAAAAATATTGATTCTTTGCAACCCATTAGCATATTCAGCGCCCGTGGACTTGCACTTAACACTTGGAAGATTGCCACTAATTCCATCGGATTTATAACGTTGCTATCAGCCATTATTATTCTTACTAATTCGATATAATGAATTTTAGCACTTGGATAGAAATAGGTGCTGGCATTATAGCCTCCATCACTTTAACTTCTGCGATTACGGAGTTATCCAGAGTTTTCTTTAACCGAAAAAAAGAAATTATTTCAGTGAAATTTCGCGGAAAAATGGTTGACCTTCCTCTGAACAATCCCCAAAAGCTACAAGAAATAATAGAAGGAGTAAATAAAGTTCAAGTCTTCATATCTTATAGTCAAACGAACAAAAAAATAGCAAAAAGAATCGCCATGGACTTAAAGTTACATGGAATTGAGTCCTGGCTGCCAGATGAAATGATTCATTTGGGTGATAACATTTTGAATAAAATTGAAGAGGGTCTTGAAAATAGTAATTTTTTCATAGTACTCATTTCGAAAGAATCTGAAAATTCAGAATGGTTTATGAAGGAATTAGAACTAATGCGTAAAATTGAACTTGAATCAGATCAACCTAAGATTATACCAATATTATTAGACGATAGCCAATTGCCTGATTTTTTTCCAAAGGATCGAGTATATGGAACCATAGGAGATTATAATAAGTTAATTGAAGGTCTTGTAAAAAGATCAAAAAGTGAACAAAATCAAATTTTATAAAGAATCCAAAAGTTTTATAATTCCATTAGAACGTGGAACCATTCTGCTCTATTTGCATTAGCTTTAATACCTGTTCAAAATCTTAAACGCGCTAAGCATCGTATCATTTTGCTATCCCTACCTCACCCCCCTCACCTTCTCCTCCAGTTCCTTAACCCGCTGCAACAACAAATCCGGGTTGCCAATATTTTTAGTTACTACCAGGCATACCTGCCACACTCTCTGGATCTCTTTAGAAGCTACCGTAGCCTGGTAATGATCGGGATGCAGGGGCTCCAATACCAAATTGCTCAGATTTTTAGCGTTCAGCCTGCGGTAGTACAATTGTTTCTTCGTTTCAAAGATGTAGAGCTTTCCTGCCTCTACCTCGTTCAGGTCAAACTTATCCGGGCGGCAGCCCACAACCACATCTTGTTTACCGGCTCCGGAACCATGATACACCATCGCATCATCGTTCAGCTCAAAAGCCCGGTAATTCATACCCTTTAAGAGGGGGAGCTGGATCACCGGCAAAACGGACGATTTAATTTCTCCGGCCAGGTAAGCCTGCTGCTCGGCCTGTGACACATAAGGCACCGGTATAATATCCACCGGTACTTTGGAAGGCGACAAATTGTGCTTCACTTCCCCCGCCAACTCCTCCTTAAAGATGTCGAAACGGGAAAGATCGTTCACGGAAAGCTCTTTAGTAAGCAGGTCATCTACACTAATGCCAAAATGATTAGCAATTTGTAGAACAGTAGCTATTTTAGGCTCTGCCCTCCCCTCTTCATACGAGCCAATACTAGCCCGCTTCATGTCAAACAAGTCCGCAAAGTCGCTCTGACTAAGGTTTTTCACTCCTCTTATCTTCTTAATATTACTCCCGATCACTGACATAGCTTCAAATATTTTTGCTAATTATTTTGGCAAATCTAAAAATATTAGTACATTAGCCCCGTAAAGCTAATAAAAATATCATGAATACTTTTTTCACCTTCCTCAGTTTACCCCCGCCATAAAAGTAGAATGTCATATATTGATCTCGCTTTTCACAGACCTTAACCAATTAGCTGTGAGCGCACTAAACTTAAAATTTCATAACCTAAACCCTTTTATATGACAGATTACTTCGAAAAAGTGAAGTCCTACCTCGTTGACCTTGAATACACCATTACCCATGAAAACGCTGAAGAATCAGTATTGGTAGTGGAAAGTGATGATACCGGCATCCGCAACCTGGTTATTGCCTGTGCGGACCCTATCCTCATCCTGGAGCAGTACCTCTTTGAAATGAAAAATGCTTCGGCAGACATTTTCAGGAACCTGCTCATTAAGAACCGCGATATTGTACACGGTGCCTTTGCCCTGGATGAAGGTGGAAAAAGAGTGATCTTCCGCGACACTTTACAACTGGAAAACCTGGACCTCAACGAACTGGAGGGCACCCTGAACTCCCTGAGCCTGTTGCTTAGTGAATACTCAGACGAGCTCATTGCTTTTTCAAAACATTAGATCATACGGTAAGGCAACTTGCCCTTGTATAAACCCTTTTTAATTGTAGAACTATGAATATTTTCAAGAGACTGTTTACCATCGGTAAAGCTGAATCACACTCAGCTCTCGACAAACTGGAAGACCCTATAAAAATGACGGAACAGGGTATCCGTGAACTTAAATCCGACCTCGACAAAGCCTTACACGCCTTGGCGGAGATCAAGGCCCTGAGCATTCGTGCCCGTAACGATATGCAAACCTATTCCAACAAGGCGCAGGATTATGAGCAAAAAGCCATGCTCCTGTTACAACAGGCCCAAAAAGGTGAAATGGACGCTGCTGAAGCGGACCGCCTGGCTACTGAGGCCCTCACTAAAAAAGAGGACAACCAGAAGAGCCACGCCCAAAGCATGGCCGATAAGCAGAAATTTGACGGAAACATTGCCACTATGGAATCCAACATCAAGCGCCTGAAAAGCCAGATCAGCCAGTACGAAAACGAATTGCGTACGCTGAAGGCCCGCGTAAAAGTGGGAACCGCTACCAAGAACATCAACAAGCAAATGGCGCAGATTGATGGTTCAAGCACCGTTTCCATGCTGGAGCGCATGAAGGAAAAAGTGGCCCAGGAAGAAGCCCTGGCTGAGAGCTACGGTGAAATTGCCAACGAGAGTAAAAGCCTGGACGATGAGATTGATAAAGCTTTAGAAGGTGCACAACAATCTAAAGCCAACGATGAACTAGCTGCCCTGAAAAAGAAAATGGGCTTATCCGGTGACGATAGTACCGACCCCGGAAAATGAAAGAGTTCATTGACCTGATCTTTAGCGGAGCCAATGTCGTACCCACGGCATTGCTCCTCTTCACCCTCCTCTACTGGATCATCGTGATCTTTGGCCTGGTGGGCACCGACTTCCTGGATATTGACCTGGATGCAGACGGTGATGCCGACCTGGATGCCGATGCAGGAGGTGGAGACGGCAGCAGCGCTGATGTTTCCTGGCTCAACAACGCCCTCACCTTTTTCAACCTCGGCAAGATCCCCCTGATGATATGGCTCAGTTTTGTAGCCTTCCCTCTCTGGATCATTTGCATCAACGTGAACGCCCTCCTCGGCATTCACAACTTTTTCCTCGGGCTCATAGTGCTTTTACCGGCACTCTTGGCAAGCCTCTTCATCGCCAAGTTCCTCACCTGGCCTTTTGTAAAGTTCTTTCAGAAGATAGATGAAGACTCTAAAGAAAAAGACATCGTTGGCCAAGTGGGCATTGTAACCCTCTCCGCCAATCACAGCAGCAAAGGACAGGCTGAAGTAAACTACAGTGGAACACACCTGCGGTTCTACATCATTACCCGCGAGGGAATAGACGTACAAAAGGGACAATCCGTGCTCTTTGTACAACGTATGGGCAACCAGGGCATCTACCTGGTGGAACCCTATGATACAATGGATTAATACGAACACTAACCTTAATTACAATGGAGATTTTTGAGAATACGATGATGTTATCGGTAGTCATAGCTGTGGTCCTTATTTTCGGGATCATAGCGATGTTCTCCCGCTTTTACCACAAGGCCTCGCAAGGCCAGGCTTTGGTGCGCACCGGTGTGGGTGGCATCAAGGTATCTTTTAACGGCATGGTGGTGATACCCGTGCTGCACAAACTGGAGATCATGGATATCTCCCTGAGCACCATAACCATAGAACGTGACGGCAAGGACGGCCTAGTGTGTAAGGACAACTTACGGGCCGATATTAAAGTAGCCTTCTTTGTTCGTGTAAACGAGATGGTGGAAGACGTGAAAAAAGTAGCCCAGTCCGTGGGTTGCGCCCGCGCTTCCTCCAAAGAAGCCCTGCGCCTGCTCTTTGATGCCAAGTTTTCAGAAGCCCTGAAAACGGTGGGTAAGAAGTTTGACTTTGTAGATCTCTACAACCAGCGCGATGAATTCCGCAAGGAGATCATCGAGATCATCGGTACCGACCTCAACGGTTACGTACTGGATGATGCCGCCATCGACTTCCTGGAGCAAACCCCACTCAATTCTCTCGACCCCAGCAACATCCTGGATGCCGAGGGTATCAAGAAGATCACCGAGATCACCGCCCGCGAAGCGGTAAAAGCCAACTTCATCCAGCGCGATAAGGAAAAGACCATCAAGCAACAGGATGTGGAAGCCCGCGAGGCCATCCTGGTACTGGAAAAACAACTGGCCGAAACCGAAGAAAAGCAGAAACGCGAAGTAGCCAATATTAAATCGCGCGAAGAAGCTGAGATTCGCAAGGTAGCCGAAGAAGAACGCCTGAAATCTGAAAAGGCCCGTATTGCCACCGATGAGGAAGTGCAGGTGGCCGAAGAGAACAAGCTGCGCCAGGTGATCGTGGCCGCCAAGAACAAGGAGCGTACCGAAGCCGTGGAAAACGAACGCGTGGAGAAAGACCGTGCCCTGGAAGCCACTGAGCGCGAGCGCATCGTGACCCTTACCCAAATCGAGAAAGAAAAAGCGGTAGAAGCAGAGAAGAAAAACATACAAGAGGTGATCCGTGAGCGCGTGGCCATTGAGAAAACCGTGGTAGATGAAGAAGAGCGTATCAAAGACACCCGCGCCTTTGCCGAAGCCGATCGTTTGAAGAAAGTAGCCGTCACCAAAGCTGAGGAAGATGCTGAATCTGCCCTGGTGCAGGAGATCAAGAAAGCCGAAGCCGCGCAACAAGCTGCTGAATTCCTCGCTAAGCAAAAAATCATTGATGCCGATGCGGAGCAGAAATCCTCTATTCAAAAGGCCGAAGCCGTAAAAGTACTGGCCGAAGCCGAAGCCGCCCGCTTTGCTTCTTCCGGACTGGCGGAAGCCAAAGTGATGGAAGCCAAAGCCGAAGCCCGCGAGAAACAAGGGGAAGCCGAAGCCTCCGTAGTGGAAGACCAGGCCATAGCCGAAGCCCGCGGTATAGAAGCCAAATCACTGGCCCAGGCCGAAGCCGATCTACGCATTGGCAATGCCGCTGCCGAAGTGGATAAAGCCAAAGGTCTGGCCGAAGCGGAAGTGATCCGCAAAAAAGCCGATGCCGAACTGGAGAAAGGTTTGGCCGAAGCCAAGGTGAATTACGAAAAAGCCAATGCCGAAGCCGAGGGTATCGACAAGAAGGCAGCCGCCATGAAGAACTACAACGATGCCGGTAAGGAGCACGAAGAGTTCAAGCTGCGCCTGAGTAAAGACAAGGAGATCGAGCTCGCGCAGATCAACATCCAGAAGGCCATAGCCGATGCCCAGGCCGATGTGTTGGGCACCGCCCTCAAGTCCGCCAAGATCGATATTGTAGGTGGTGAGAACGTCTTCTTCGACAAGATCGTAGGCGCCATCAGCAACGGTAAAGCCTTTGACCGCACGGTGAACAACAGCCAGATCTTCTCCAAAGTACGGACCCAACTGCTGGATGACCCTAACCAATCGCTGGTACAGCAGATCCGCGGTTTCATCAAGGATGTCGATGTGGATAGCGAGGACATCAAAAACCTCTCGGTAACCGCCCTGATCGTGAAGATCATGAACCAGACCAATGACCCGGATAAGAAAGGCATGCTGCAACAGTTGCTGGACCTGGCCCGTGGCTCCGGTTTCGGTGACCGCTCTGCGGAAGACTTAGGTCTGATTGAATAACAAATCTTGCTAGTGAAGCCGGAAGAGTGCGTCCTAAGCCTCCCACCCAGCCTTAACCTCAGTCCCACTCACCCTTTTGGAGAGTGGGCAACCGATGGGCGCCACGGCAAGGGATGCTCTCCCCGGTTTTTCATTAGAGGTGGGATTTGAGAATTTAAACCCTTTGTTTTAAGCTGAAAAACATTCACTATCCATTTTGGATAATGCCATAAATAAACAACAGTTATCCGATCCGGGGCCTGGCCCCGGATCTTAACCGACCTTCAGGAAAAAAGTAAGTCTTGAGCTTTTGGTTCTTTTTGAGTTAAGTCAAAAAGAACATGAATGAAAAAGAGAAAGGCCCTTCGGCAAGCTCAGGGCCCGGAATTAGAAGAAAAGAAATGAAACCCCTTCACACCTTACTCCTCATAACTACCCTCACAGCCCTTTCTATCTGGAAAGCATGTAAACTGTACCAGCCTGCGGAGCAACCAGAGCCGGAAAGCGGGCAGTTCATCGTGATTCACCGGAGTGAGGAACTAACCAAAACCGATAGTACCGAAAAAGAAAGCCACTTCTGGCCTTCCATGTCAGGCTCCAGGCAAACCCACACCATCAGCCCCTGGTCCGTATTAAAAACCTACACCCCCTCATTTAATCTGTAAATGGCAGCGAACGAAAAAGATAGCACCCCCGATAAAACCCAACTCGAAAGCGGCTCCTACGAGATCATCCGCGACCGCCTCGAAAAACACGGCAGTGAGCTGCGCCAACGCATCCAGCAGCTCAACCAAGCCCGCAAGGACGTATTCGGCTCCATAGAGACCAAACTCCTCACCACCGAACGCGTAACCACCGAGCACAACTGCTACGCCCGCGACATCGTACCCCTGGGCAACAACCATTTTATCTTCGGCTATAACGTGCACATGGGCCTCAAAACCGAAACCCACGTATCCGATGTGTTTAGCCTCTACCGCTACGACAGTGAAAAACAGGTGTTCCACCGCGAGGAGAACGACACCCTGCAAAACGACAGCTTCCTCCAGGACTTTGCCAACCTCTACAAGTACTACCGCGACACCCGCTTTGCCAAGTTCGCCCAAATAGGGCCGCACATCTTTATGGTGTTCCAGGTGGGGAAAACGTCAGACGATATTAAAACCTTCAAATGGACGCTGAAACCGGACGGCACGCTGGTGTACGTAGACAACCGCAGCGACCATGAATTTGTATTCCCCAACCAGCATGAATTCCGCTGGAAGCGCGTGGTGCGCGACATGCACCGCAAGGGGGCCCACCCCCACATTTCCATTGAAGACCGCCTTTTTGTGGAAACCATCGGGGGCGATCTCACCATTAAGGTGGAAGACAATACGGACACCGGCCGGGGTATTTACGAAGAGCCGGTGGACGACCCCGACCAGACTTTGGATGATGCCGAGATCCATTACGCTATCATCGGCAACCTCATTGTGTTGAAGATACGCCCCTACCAGGAAGAAGACTACCGCTTTATTGTATTCAACGAAAAGATACAGGAAGCCGTGCGCGTGGATGCCCTGGAAGACTCCTGTGTACTGCTGCCGGACGACCAGGGGATCATCTTTGCCAAGGGCTATTACATCCAAACCGGGGAAGTAAAGCTGTTTGACAACCAGCTGGAGAACATGCTCTTTGAAAAGCGCATCATCTCCCCCAACGGAGAGGATTTTCTCTATGTGTTCTACGAAAAGGAGAGCGGCCTGTACGCCCTCATGCCTTACAACCTCATCACCCAGGAGGTGGACACGCCCATCATTTGCCACGGCTATTCGTTCTTTGATAACGGAGAGATGATCTTCTTCAAGTCGGAAGAAGAACAGAAGAAACACCACCTCATCCAGATCTGGCAAACCCCCTTCTACTCCCCCAACCAAACCGTGGAGGTAGAAAATAAGTCCTACCTCTTTAAGCTGGGGAATAAAGAAATTGTACAGGCTATGGCCGAAGGCGGGGAGGTACTGAAACTCCTCCGCAAGGAAGACAGCTACAGCAATCTCTACATAGACCTTGTAAAAGCCACCACCGGCATACTGGACAGCTACCACTGGCTGAACAATGAAGACGCTTTTTCCCTGGCTGAACCCCTGCGCCAGATCAAAGCCTCCGCCTCTCAGGCCATTGAGGAATACGAAAAGGTGATCCGCATTAAAAAGAACACCCGGGAACGGGCGGGTGAGGTCACCCAAAAAGCCGATGAGATCGTCAGTCGTGCTAAGCGGGGTGATGCCAAAACCATTTACGAATTCGTGGAGCGCCTGGCGCTGCTTCGCACTTCCAAAGGGGAAGTGGTTTCGCTGAAGGAACTGCGTTATATGGATCCCGAAGTGGTGTCCGACTACGAGCAAAAACTGGCGAAGATCACCGATACCGTATCGCAGAATACCGTTAAATTCCTGCTGAAGAAGGAAGCCCTGGCACCCTACCGCGAAAAGGTGGATCAGCTCAGCAAGGAAGTGGAAAAAGTGCAAAAGGTGGTGGACGCCACCCGTCTGGGCGAAGACATCGCCAAAGTGTCCAAAGACCTGGAGATGCTCATCGAGATTGTAAGCAACCTGAAGATCGAGGATGCCACGCAAACCACGCGCATCATAGACAGTATTTCGGCTATTTACGCCCAATTCAACCGCATTAATGCCAGCCTGAAGAAAAAGCGCAGGGAACTGATCGGCAAGGAAGGCGAAGCCGAGTTCAACGCTCAGCTCAAACTCATCAGCCAAGGGCTTACCAATTACCTGGACATTTCCGATACGCCCGAAAAGTGTGAAGACTACCGCAACAAACTCATGGTGCAGCTGGAAGAGCTGGAAGGCCGCTTTGCAGAATTCGAGCAATTTATCACCCGCATCAACGAGAGGCGTGAGGATGTATACAATGCCTTTGAAACTAAAAAGATACAGCTCACCGAAGCCCGAAATAAACGGTCGCTGGCACTGCAACAATCCGGGGAGCGCATCATTAACGGTATCCGCAAACGCCTCGGCAGCTTTGGCTCTTTAGAGGAGATCAACGCCTATTACGCCTCCGACCTGATGGTGGATAAGGTGCGCGACATTTCCAGACAACTTTTGGAGATGGACGATTCCGTAAAAGCCGATGACCTGCAAAGTCAGCTCAAATCCGCTTACGAAGAAGCTACGCGCCAACTCAAAGACAAAAAAGACCTCTTTGTAGAGGGTGAGGACGTGATCCGCCTGGGGAAACACAGCTTTAACGTGAACACCCAGGAGATCGACCTTTCCCTGGTGAACCGCAAGGGCGAAATGTACTTCCACATCAACGGCACCAACTTTTTTGAAAAGGTGCAGAGCGAAGCTTTCAACGCCACCAAAGACGTTTGGGAACAGTCACTGGTATCGGAGAACGAAAAGGTGTACCGGGCCGAATACCTCGCCTGGCAACTCTTCCGTGAAGCGGAGAAGGCTCCCAATCCCCAAGACAGTGAAGTGGAAACCCTCGAAAGCCTGCACCAGATGTCGCACAAAGCCTTGCAAGGTTACGTACAGCGCAGGATGGGGATCCGCTACGATGAAGGTTATGTAAAAGGCGTTCACGATAAGGATGCCGCAGCCCTGCTGCGCGAGCTCCTCAGCTTTTACCATACCATCGGGCTGCTGCGCTATTCCGCCACCAGCCGCGTGCTGGCCTACCTTTTCTGGAACCACCTGGTCAGCGAGGAAGAGCGCCAGGAATGGGAACGCCATTTTGAAGGCATCCGCAGCATCCTCAGCGTATTCCCGGACGGTCGCCATTTTGGCGATACCCTGAACGAACTGACCGCAAGTATTAATGCCTCCGCTCCGGCTATGGATTGGGTCAATGAACACACCTCCCGCGAAGCAGCCGAATTCCTCTTCCACCACCTGGCCGAAGAAGCCGATTTTGTGTTCTCCCTGGAAGCCTGGCACCTTAGCGACAGTTTCCAGACCCACCTGAAAAAGCAAAGCAGCCTGCGTGCTTTTGAACAGTCTTTAAAATCCCTGGAAGGGGATACCCTGGAAAGCTTTAAGCTGGTGCGCAACTGGCTGCGCTCCTTTACCCGCCAACTCAACGAAACGTTTAGCCCTGAAGTGCAACTGGCGGCCACTATCATCCTGATGGACAAACGCACTTCGCCCAAAACCGAGCATAAGATCTCCCTGCAAGCGGAGGTCAGCGGCCTGCATGGTGATCACCCCCGCATCAGCGAGGGTAAGCTCAACCTGCACTACAACCATTTTATGCAACGCCTGAAAGACTACGAACAGGAAGACGCTACCCGCTTCCGCAGCTATACCGAACTCAAAAAAGAACTGCTGCACGAGGCCAAAGCCGAAATGCGACTGAATGAATTCAAGCCGCGCGTGATGAGTTCCTTTGTGCGCAACCAGCTCATCAATGATGTGTACCTCCCGCTTATTGGCGACAACCTCGCCAAGCAGATGGGGGCAGCAGGCAGCAACAAGCGCACCGACCTGATGGGTCTGCTACTGCTCATCTCCCCACCCGGTTACGGTAAAACCACGCTGATGGAGTACATCGCCAGCCGCCTGGGACTGGTCTTTATGAAGATCAACGGTCCGGCCATTGGCCATTCCGTCACCAACCTCGATCCGGCAGCGGCTACCAACTCGGCCGCCCGTGAGGAACTGGAAAAGCTCAACCTGGCTTTTGAGATGGGCGACAACGTGATGATCTACCTGGACGATATCCAGCATTGCAATCCCGAGCTGCTGCAGAAATTCATTTCCCTCTGCGATGCCCAGCGCAAGGTGGAAGGTGTGTACAAAGGTATAAGTAAGACCTACGACCTGCGCGGTAAAAAAGTAGCTGTGGTAATGGCCGGGAACCCCTATACGGAGAGCGGGGACAAATTCCGCATCCCGGACATGCTGGCCAACCGGGCGGACATTTACAACCTGGGCGACATCATTGGCGGTAAGGCGCGTGCCTTTGAACTCAGCTACCTGGAGAACAGCCTCACCTCCAACCCCGTGATG